ACACACACACACGCGCACACACACACACACACGCACACACACACACACACACACGCACAAACACACACACACACACACACACGGGTGTGTGGGCACTCCCCGCCCAAACACGAATGTGGGGAACCTTGCACCTTCTGTTTTATTGCTCATCTATACATTTTCTGCTTATGGATGGTTTGTGATGGAATGTGGATGGAATGAGAAAGAGAGTTTGGGGATGTTGACACACACACACACACACACACACACACACACACACACACACACACACACACACATTCACACACGCTATTTGACCTTTGTGTACTGCTGGTTTCGGCTTACTTCCTCCTCTGTTCCCCCTCCTCTTCTTTCACTTGAATTCTCCTCCTCCCCCTCCTCTTTTCGTGCTCTCCTTTTCTTCTTTCTCTTCCCTCCTCCTCCTTTGTCCCCTGAAGGACATTTCCTCTCCATATCTCACTTATCTAATATATATCTATTTTAGCATGGTGTTGTGGTATCTCACCATTCTCATTCGAACTCGATACCCCCTAAGAGGCTAATGCCCTCCATTACTAGCGAACCCCTCCCTTCCCCTTAACCATTTCCCCTCAAACGCATCAAACCCTGATCGTCAATGTATACCACCTGTCTCTGCAGTCTGATACAGTTATGATGAGGGTGCGTTGTGACCGTGGTGTCAGGGAGGAAATGGTAGCCAACGGCCCCCTTCGACATTACCCCCTCCGCCCAACGCACTTCTATCTACCTCCAATATTTCCAATTCCCCCGATATTGTTGGATATATTGTTATATATATATATATTGTTCTATATATTAGTATCTAATATCAATATAAAAGAAATTGATTAATTCTTATATTTCTTTATTAATGAATGAGTGAAACTTCCCCACTGAGCAAAACATGCCAGCGGTCCTCGAGTCCTCTCCGAACTGTACGAGATAGTCACCTATCATACGGCTCTCTATTCTACTTGCTTCGTAGTTCCAGTCTTCGAGTGAGTGAGTTGAGTGAGAGGCCAAAGTAAATAAAAGAAAACGCAAGAGGTTCATAGGATCACAGCCCGTACCCACAGCCTAAAGGTCATACCCCTGCCTAAGCCACCTGCCATGCTAGGATTCCCTAACTAGCAGACTCGGTTGTGTGTGTGTGTGTGTGTGTGTGTGTGTGTGTGTGTGTGTGTGTGTGTGTGTCCACTTACTCAGGCCAACCCTCCATGGGGATGGGCTGGATGGACTAGTGTCATAGGGCACTATCGTCTTCCCCCGATAAAACGCAGGCTCGTTATGACTTCATGTGACCGGAAAGAGGGCTTGTATTCATTCAGAATCAGGGTGTGTTATGTTCGGGGGAAGACGGGAGGCCATTCATCCTGATGCCATTCTGCCTGGTGCCCCAAGGGCTGCGCACATGTATACAGACAAACACGTACACATATTACTACCATGGAGCAATCAGACTCGTAGACCAGAAAAAATCGTGCAGATGATGTGGCCTTTCACCACTGCAGCAGGCAAATGCAGCATGTAACTCGGCAAGATGTCGCACAGACACACATGGACAGTAGCAAGAGGAGGGGGAGTGAAGAAGGTACCGAGAGGCAAAGCCTCTGTGTACGTGTAAGAAGGAGAGCGTTGCAGCCTCTGCGACCGAGAAATCATGGCATGTTGTCTGCAAATTTGTACAGAAGTACACCATACAAACAACACTCGAAGACAGGGCCTGCAGCCAAGTAAGCCCAATGGCATCGGAACGCAAACATGCAAAGGCCACAAGTGCAGGTCCTGGAGAGCAAATGGAAAAAAAAATGCAAGTACCAAACTGGGAACAAGAAACAATGAAACATGCAAAACTAATGATGATATCATGATAGATGGTTTTGTCAGATTCGAACCGAGTCATCGGGGGGCTGAACCCTCAGCAATCTGCAGAACCCTTTGACACTCGTTGAAAGAGGACGGACTGCAGCACAATGAACAGAGCACGGACACACTGACCAGCCCACAGGGAGGCACAAGGCAGTGCAGTGCGGACAAAGCAGCCCAGCTACAAGGCAAACAGGCACGCCGCTGGGAAAAGCAAGGCAAGGCAAGCGGATGCACAGCTACAGTCTTCCCCCGAATACAACGTACGGTCATTATAGCTGAATTTAGACTGAAAGATGGCCCAAATTCAGCTATAATGACCGTACGCTGTATTCGGGGGAAGACTGTAGGCAACAGCACTGGGCCAACAAGGCAGACCAGGAACAGGGATGGGAATTGGGCAGCAAGGCAATAGTGCAGCAATGCATGGAGGAGGAGATAACTAAACTGCGAACAGACCATAAGCAAGGAAAGACGGCAGGAAGGCAGCAGAGGCACACAGACAAGGCCGTCCACACATCCAACTTGGACCAATTTGAAAGCAGTCCATCACCTAGTACTCACACTACAAGTAGAACCCTGCAGGGCCGTGCAGGCTGTCGGTTCCCACCACCAGCCTGGCTAGTGAAGTCGCTCTGACAAATGTCTGTTATCACTCATAGAGCATGTATCACAGACATCCCGAACATCCCAAACATCCCAAACAGAATGGCCACCCTAATAGTGTTACAGCCACTCGAACCGACCCGTCGCCGACCATCTAGCTCTTCTTAAAGGTGCTTAGTTAAACACAGTAACTGTTAAAGTACGCCGAAAAATGCATACAAAAACTAAATGTGTGTGTGTGTGTGTGTGTGTGTGTGTGTGTGTGTGTGTGTGTGTGTGTGTGTGTGCTCGTGTGTGTGCGTGGGCGGGCGGGCGTGCCACGTGCATGTGTGCGTGTTTGTGTGTGTGTGTGTGTGTGTGTGTGTGTGTGTGTGTGTGTGTGTGTGTGTGTGTGTGTGTGTGTGCAAACCCCCCATGGCTGTGGCACAGTGACTTGCACCCGATGGCAGTGCTTCCATATGAGAATGGAATGAACTCGCACGAAAAAGATGTCTAGTCTCTCAATAAACTCTGGAGAAAAGCCTCACTCGAGCTGTGGGGACAGCAGGTGTCCCATTTTTGTTAATGGTGAAGGTGGGTCTGCAGTTAATTTTGTCCTATGGCCTGAAATGTGCGGAACTGCAGGGAATGGGCAGGTTTCAGGTTCGGGTTTGGGGGATGGGCCGGGGGGGGACGGAAAAAAAAAGACCCGTTGCCCTTCCTATCCCAAGCCCTACACCTGACCCCTGTACCCAGCCTTGCATGCCTCGCCCCTGACCCTACGCAAAGGTTTAGGTTTTTTTTTTTTTTTTGAGGGGGGGCGGGTGAAGGGTGGAGAGATTAGGGTGCGGGGGATTTTCATTTAAAACAGCTACTGAGATTTTCCTAGTTTCTTCTCGAGTGACCTGAACTGCCTTTTTTTTNTTTTTTTTTTTTTTTGGTTCGCCATGGTGTAAGGGCCATTTCTCTAGGTGAGTGGTCTTCTGATGACTCTACCTTTATCTTTTTTTCCTGCCTTTTGTTTTCTAGTTAGTAGAGAAATATTGGTCACAACACACAAAAAAGGGACGACAAAAAGGACATGTGGTACTCTACTACTCATAGACAACCAGTCATAACAAGCACTTCATGAAAAGTAGACATTTTGTGAAAAATGGAGAGAGAAAAAAAAAAACAAAAAAACAAACAAACATTTTCTTCTAAGAAAAATGTATTTTTTTAAAGGCTCTGAAACAACACATATTGTTTACTGTCAACCAAAATCTCTCCAAAAACATGTCTTTGCTCAGCCAACGGAACGAAGGCAGAGCGAAAAGTCAGAAAAATACTATTGCCAGCTCATCAAGGCCATGGTTTTGTTACGCACAAGAATAATTACTCTGGTGAGTTGTATGTGTAAGTATATGACAGACTCTTTTTCGTTTGGGGCGTTTGGGCAAATCCAAGCCAAGTAAGCTCATTAAACAGTATAATTTGCGAAGCCAGAATGAATTAACAAATAGTTCAGTAACCACGAAGAAATACAGGAGAGAATTTAAAGAGAAATTGAAAAATAACAAGAAGAAAACAAAGAAAGAGCAGAATTTACGGAAAGCAAAATTCATAAATCCCTCCCTGCCAGCCTCCGCCATCGCCTCCCCCCTTAACACCCAGCCTCTGCCATCGCCACCATCTGTGACGTTCCCCCCTTTGTCTTCCCCCCTGCCTCTGCCCTTCCTCCACCATAGCCACCCTTCCTCTCTGCCTTTCACCATTGCCTTCTGGCTTCGGCCTCGAACGACCTACGAAAATCGTTCGATTATGTAATCGAATGATTTTCATAAGTCGTTCGATTACAAAGATATCGACGGAGGCAAAAGGCAGATGAGAGGGCGGAGGCGGGTGGGAAGGGCGGAGGTGGAGGCAGGAAGGTGCACCGGAAGGGTGGTGGCGGCGGAGACAGTGGTGGTGACATAAGCAGGGAGGAAGGGCGGTGGTGGGGGAAGTAAGGCGGAGGGGGTGGGGAGGCAGGGGGTGACGGGCGGAGGTCGGGGAGAAAGGCGGAGGAGGTGGAAGACAGGTGGAGGCGAGTAGGGAAGGACGGGTGCAATGGCGCTGGAGCGCGGGAAGGGCGGAGGCAGGGAGGAAAGGCGTCGATGGTGACCATCACCATCGACTCTGCTTCCCCATCCTTGCCT